ATTTCAGGAAGATGGAAATTTTAAGAAATGAAGCGACAAATCTGGGCAGCTTTGGCTGTAATTCTGTCAACGTGTGGCGAGAGATCAAGATTACTTGTGTAGTTTAAACCTAAATCCTTGACGATGGTACATTCAGTCGTAGGTGTGCCTTGAAAGACCACTGGTTGGGGTAGCCTATCAGGTCCAAAACACATATAGCGGCATTTAGACGAAGAGAATTCCATTAGCCATTTTGAGCTCCAAGCTGATAGAGCAAGCAAATCAGCATGGATTTGCTCCAGGCAATGAAGGCTCGTAGATTTTTTGAAAGAATATACACGTTTGAGATCATTGGCATAAATAAATGCTTGTGAATATTTGACTGTTGCCGAAATATAATTTATGTAAAGCAAGAACAAAAGAGGATCTAAAAACGGTACCTTGTAGGACACCACTTACAATAGGGCTTGCACTGGAAAGTGAAGATCCCACCAAAACCTTTTGTTTACGATTAGACAGGTATGACCTGAGAAAGTCTATTAGTGGACTGCGAATTCCCATAGCTTCCAATTTAACCAAGAGTCTTATATTTGGTACTTTATCAAAGGCTTTACTAAGATCAAAATAAATTACGACAACAGAGAGGTGATCATTACGAAGAGAGGTAAGTAGATTGAGAAACGTCAGGTGACATGTTTCACAAGAGCGATATGTTAAAAACCACGCTGGGAAGGGCTAATAACTTGATTGGCTATGCAAAATTCAGTAATTTTTATCACGACAATTTTTTCGAAGATTTTGGCGAGTGAGGGTGTTTTATGGACACCTCGATAGTTCTATACGTCAGAACGACAGCCAGACTTAAATACTGGAATAATAATAGAAGTATCCAATAGTCAGGGAAGAAGCCATTTACGAGAAACACTGAAAAGATTTTGCTAAGTAGAGGAGGAAAACCTCTTAGGTGTTTTACAAAAGAGTTTGGGATACTGTCCGTACCTACTGAGTGCGACTTAGGAAGATGGCTTATGAGTTTTTAATGATATTTAGGAGAAAAATTAATGATTCCGAGAGAAGCATCAGACAACGGAGGAATTAAAGGGATTGGGTCAGTTTCAATGGTGAAATGTTTAGCAAAGAACGAATTTAAAATTTCTGTTTTGCCTGACTCCTCTGTAATGAAGGCATCACTTGCACTAAGCAAGGGCGGAATGACTTGGTGGGACTTAGCAGGGGATCTTTGACGGAAGATTTGAGCAACTGATTTAGAAGCATTCATGTCATTACTAGCTAAAGACTCTCTACGCCTATCTCGCGGGAGCCTCATTTTCGAAGATAGTTCAAATATTTCAACGGTTCTTAGATGAACTTATAATGAGCTCACATAAGGATCTTTAAACTGCTTCCGTAACTTTTTAAGTCTGTTTTTAAGAAAGTGTGGGATAGCGGTGGAATTGGCACTAGATTTGAACATCTTCCGAGAAATAAGGTGAAGAAGACCTTCTGTTACGCATTGTGATAAATTGTTAAAATAATTTAGATCATTATTTGAAAAAAATACTGTGCCAATCAAGAGTGCATGTAAAGTTATTTACTAATTCCTTGTTAACATTAGGAAAGTCGAAAATACTACGTTATACTGTTGGCTTTGCGGAAATGGCGACTGGAAGGCGGCAATGGATTAATGCATGATCACTTGCAAAAATGTCATGATAGAAATCCATAGATAAAGGGAAGGTGCCATTAGTAAAAATTAAGTCTAAAACACTATCGTTTCTGGTCAAAGAGTAAAATTAAATGGTGTTAAGCAGCTTCTGAAATTAAGGAGGAGAAGTATGTGTGTGCCAGCCAATTTCTGGCAAATTAAAATCACCTACGATTATGTTGACATCAAAAGAAGTTTCTGCAATTTCTTCAAAGAGTTCACAGAGTTGGCTTTCATTTCCGGAGGAACAAGGAGGATTATATACACATCCGACTAAGGTTTTCCTATTTTGCGAAAGGATTACCGAAGGAAAACATAAATTTCCAGAGAAGGAGGAAATGTTCAAGTCATAAGGCGATTGTGCAAGTGAGGCTCTTATGTAAATAAGGCATCCACCGCCGCGTCTTTCGGCACGCTCCTGGCGGTATAAACTGGGGTATCTACATTGAGTGCTGAGTCAGAAATTAGAGAGTGAGCCCAAGATTCAGAAATGCACAATAAGTCTGTGTCAAACTCAACAGCTACACATCTTAGGTGTGCCATCTTTTGCACGACAGATCTTGCGTTGAGAGAGACAATACTGAGCGTATTCATAATAAGTAGGTTCCGCTCATTGCTACTTATAAAAATGGAAGAGCCGGAGGCGGAAAATTTAGCTGAGGGAACGAAGCAATTGGTGGAGGACAAAGTTGTTGCGGTCTAACATTTTTGGGGTAACTACTAACTAGAGATGCAGCATTATGTGGAAAAACATTTGAGGAGGACCCAGGAAGAGGAAAGCTATTTTGTTTGATTGGAAAAATAGGAGGCATGAAAATAGGATTTTGGGAATTGTTAGCATAACATGAGGGTAATTTATATTAGGTAGCGGACGTAATGGTTTTGGGAAACAGTTAACATCAGGAAATGGCTTTATTATCTGGGATGTCAGACTAGCAATGGGATTGGAAAAGTTATCAGCAATGCTATATACTTACATTTTGCAGTCTAGTGTGTAAGAGGGCTTCACAACTAAGCGTTAAGTTGAGAATTCAGGATAGGACCAGGTAAAGATATCCCTGAACTATCATCTAGCTTATTGGACCTAACCACGAGGTCACACCTGAGTGGCCAGGGGTGGGAACGGGGTGGATTTGATGTAAGTTTATTAACTAAATCACTATTCAGAGTGCGGGGACTGACTCATCTTTACTGTTAAGATCAAGCTCCCTAGTTAATGTGGGAGCTGCATTTGAACAATCCTTGCTTCGTGGGGCAGTTTTAAAAAGGCTAGTTACAATTATCTCTGTGATAATGTGATCAGTCGAAGAGCTAGATGGAACTGGGGCCGCTGTAGATAGCGGAGAGATTTGGTTGACACACGACGGAGAAACTGCTTTAGAGGTAAAAGGCATATGAGTAGAATTCGGGGGTGACTTTACGTTTGTCAATAAGGGAGAAACTCTTCGTTGCAGTGGAATTTGATCTCAACTAATAAAAAGTTTATTACCCCTGAGATATTGAGTCAAGCGCTGAAAATGGGAGAAAATAAAAGCCACTTCTATCGAAGAAAAGAGTTTGACAAAAATTGATGGATTCCTGCTTCTAGACGAAAGTCTTTTAGCTTCAGCGACCGTAAAGTTGAAGCCACATAAATAAAGGCAATGAAAAGTGACATCGATCGGCTGTCTACTCCTGGGAACGTTTTTTAATATAAAATTGAAACTTGGTTTGTGCCGGTCTTCAGTCTCAGTAGCAACCAGGTTAATGAGAGGCATGAGCTTCTCACTGCTGAGATGCTGCGCATCGTGGTGGTTAGAAATGTCAACCTCTTCTATTATTCCCCGGGCAAAACTGGATTTTTTCGAAATAAATATGCCAACTCTTTCTGTTTGGAAGGTTCGCGAAATCGCCTGGCCAAGGCGTCTTCTAGGGAATTCTTTCGCTTTGTTGTCTTGAAAAGGGATTTTTCCGTCTGCATAGCGTTGGTGTTTCCGGTCTCTCTGGAATATTCTTCCCAACAAATTTTTCAGAATACCCCTGCTCGTGAAGCAGGCAATAAACTTTTCTAAGTTCCTTGTCGATGTCTTCTGTCAGACAGATTTTGCTGGCTCTTTTCATCAAACAATTGACTAGATTGCGTTTTTGTTGAAGGAGTACGAAACTGCAGAAATTCATAGAGATTCCAGACCACGTTTTCTTGTAACAGGCGCTTCTTCGAACGCCAGCTTTAGCTCTTCTGCATAATAGGACATCTAAGATACAGAACAGAGCCCTGACAGATTCAAATTTAATAATTAACTCAAACGTCATAGGCTTGACTTTCCCTTTAACTCCTGCAGGGGATGGTAACGTGCTCAATGTTATCTTTTCCAAGGCCCTAGCCAAACGCAGCTGATGTATGCTTAATGTTATCGCTTATCTATTCCTCAAAAACTTGAAGTGAACCCGAGCAATGAGACCAAGCCCATACTTTTACAGACTTCGGACAGACAAAAGTCCCTATTGACTTCGTTTGCAAAGGGGCTCTTTAAATACAAAACAAAGTAGACTATGCGGCCGTGATAACCCAGTGCATCAACTCGTAAGTTTTGTGCGCAAATGTACGTACACCTTAAACTACACTGATGGAACCAGATGCCTGCAGTCAAACACGCTTAGCAAAATGCGTAATGCTCGAAGCATACAGACAATTCCAACAGATGCTGAAGTATGCGTATTCAGGCGTTGCGCACAAATGATTCTGTCAATTATAGAGACAAAGTCCATGGTGTGTTAACACTGCTAATGTTGCGTTTGTGTTGCTTCTAGAATGCTATTAGCTCTGAGCTTCCATATGTACTTAAAGAGAGTTTTCATGATTCTGTTAAAGTAGGTCGCAGTGAGAGTAGGAGAATTATCCTAATTAGATCCTTTTGTGCCCAGCCTGGTGAAGGGAATAATAATACACAAGCAGATAGAGCATCACTTTGTTAGTTTAATGGAGTCGCATTCAATAACTGGCTATGATACGTAATGTCTACATCAAGCTGATGTATATTTATGTCTAATTGCCTTAGACTCTTACTGATACTCCCAGATAACGCTGCCTACACAGCTCACCGTTCCTGTCCAGCTGTCCACTTCCATAGGTCTTTACTAGAAAAATTTAGCATTTAAATGATTTTCCAACTGTATCGGTTAATATAAAATTCCTCTGAATGGGAAAAATTACGAACGACGACGGTTTTCTTAACATTGACCCTTCTGACCTTGAATTGTTTTACGAAACCGAGCTCAGTTTACGCAGGGGTTGGTACATATATAGTTCTAATTGCAGTCCTGATTCTACGCTAGTATGTCGGACTTACAAAAGCTTGAGAACACACAGAAGGCTTGTAAGAAGATCCGAGATGGATTGGAGGCGTGGCTCGGAAAACCACTAAGTAAGATATGGTCGTGGTACGCAAAGTTTTTTTGAGTACAAAGTTCTTGAGTAGCCGTCACTCGAGTGACGGCTATATTTCTGGTGATCACCAGAAATATAGCAATATAGCAGCAACTGCCTTTGAAGTGATTTTGATTCTACTTTCATTCGATACCCACTAGTAAGTTTATAGGCATCTCGTGGATGCTGATATGCATGCGGCACTCTGCCAAAACGCGGTTAATTGGCGTGCGCTGAAAATAACATTTATAACTAAAGTGGTAGATGTTATATCATTTAAGTACTTAATTAAGCACTTGTGTGATATATGTATATATTTGTCACATAAAAAATGTGCATTTGTGTATCGTATAAACTATTATTTACATAGACAACAATAGTCAGGCATTATCTGGATCCACGTGGTCTTCAAATGTTAAAGTTCTAAATAAACTCAAAGGGATTATGGGTCGAAGTCAATGCGTAATCGCGAATACTTTTTTATTGTTTAATGTAAACTGAAATGTCCTGTTTGAAACATTCTTTCGAAAATGCTTTTTTAATTTCTCTTTTTGACAAGAAGCTAGGCCTAATCACAGTTGAATCCTGTTTATCACATAAATAATTTGTAATTTTCGGTTTAAGTCCCAGAACGGTATTAACACCTTCCGTCAGTTATAAATTTTTCACAAGAGACTGTGCATTTTTTTCTTAAGCAAAAAAAGGCAGCCACAAACAAGATACACCCTTGTCAGAACTGGCCGCCGCAGAACAGAAAGCTGCGGATTTGTTTCCGGAGCCTTCATTGAGTACGTTTTAATTTAAATGGAAAACATATTTGAAAACTGCAAACTGTTTATCAAACAGTTTTAAATTTTTCTCTAGCAATTTAAATGATAACACACTACAGTAATTGCTTGTTTTTTTTATTTAGAGACAACTATGGCAGCTGTCAGTAATGCAACTTCAGAGCTTGCCGCTGAGGAGCTATCATTTACTTCTGAGACAGCTGCAAAGGTTTTGTCAGTAATCGACGCGTTTTTAGAGACGACATATCCTACACTCTCAGTAAATATTGCCTGCGCATTATGTTTCAAAAACCACTTTTTCAGACTTTTTCTTATGTATTTTTTCATACGATATTATAAAAGTCAGTAACTTTCCCGCTTTATATAGATCTGGAGAGTTACTTCGTTTATTATTGATCCAACGTTTCAGTTAGAAAGAGAAGTGCAACTTCGCTGATTAATATTTTTACATGGCTATTGTGCTTTAATTCATCGACCAGTTTTTTTTTATAAATTTCAAGAAAATCCCGTTTAATAAAAAAAATAGTACTTCGGCGACATTGGCTTTATTATTTCGGCAAAAAATACTGCATTTTATTTTGGAAATTGGGTCAGGTTTGGCTTAGCTAGATGTAAGAAAGCAGAGTGGAGTTCTGAAAGAACATACAAAGAGAGTTTTTTATATCTTTGCCATTTGTCTATATTCGCATTTGAAAATGATCATTATCCAGTGGAACTGTGAAGTTTGACTGTTCTTTACCTTGTTAACGAAATATGTATACAGTTTTTGGCAAATTACTATTCACTTTGGAAAACGGCGGTTTGATGGCAGTCGGCCCTATGTATTTCACAAACACGCAATAAACGACGTTTATCGGTCTACAAAATGCTTCACCAGAGGTGTTCTATTCCATTTAGAAAGAACTAAAAGCACATGAAGCATGCAAGACTGATTATGAAAACGCCTTGAAGAAATGTGAGAAAGCCAGCAAGGTAGATAAAAAGGAGAAAGTAAGTTTTACTTAAAAAATATCCTTTTATCTCATTTTCTGCCATATTTATTACAAATGTATTTGTAAAAGTTTTATTGCTTGTTTGGAAACTTTAACTTTAAGCGAATTATCTTTTGCTGTGAACACTATTAGGCGGAAGCAGAGGTGAAGTTGAAGAAGCAACAATTCGATGGTCAAGCAGCCAGAGTATCCGCAGTTATCAAGCAACTGGATAATGCCTACGTAAGACATTTATCGTTTTCTTCCTTTCTTATTACGCAGCGATCAGTATTTAGATTGTGTATATTGTCTGCCGAAATTTTTAAATGTTGAAATATTCCGGCTGCATAGATTTAAAATAATAGGTTTTGCTTTTATGTAAAGTCTGAGTGCGCGTATTGTCCTTTGCAGCCACAACTTGAGAGTGCAATGATAGAACTTGTAGACCTTCTGGCATTGGAACATCAGAGGTCAGCCAACATCATGACGGAACTTTCGACAAGACTGAAAGTTGGAAAAGCGTATGTTCCGTGCATAAATTATATGATGAAATTTTTGTATATCACCAAATCACTTGATTTTGTCTGGTTGATATTTTAGAGCAACGAAGACAACATAGTTGACGCCAAGAGCCCATGGAGTTGTGCAAGCATATAAGACCTCTTCTGTTCTGATAAAGATATCATTGCTATGTCAAATGAATTTCCACGCACGAAAAATTCTGATCCGCCCATGTAAGGAGGGCGAGCATATCAGACATTTGTTTCGTACTATAATCGTAAAAAAATATCTCTTTGTGAAAGCAGAATGTCGTTTTTAAGTGTCAAAATGTCTTACAAAGTATTTTTGCACCTAAGTTGTCGTATTACTTGCCAGGCCAGGTTTCAGTTCTAGTGCAACGTACAAGAGTGCTTGGTGAACCGTCTGCTTACTAATCCTAGGGCATGCATTATGTAATCTTCCAAGAATTAGAATGTACGTTTCAAAATTAAGCCTGTTTAAATTACTTCCTGTCATAATTTCTTTTATATTGCCTGCAAGAATGAGAAAAATTGGTATGGACTACTCTAACTGTGGCTAGGGGATCCATTTTCTCTTTTGCATAATCTTTCCGTCCTTATTGCGGAGAGTACTAAAAGCCATCCGTTTGAAATAACCACTCAATCACGTTTAAGATAAGCAAGGCAAAACATTTCATCCGTTTGTATAGGATTTGACCATGGATCTAGAAGGACGATTGAGATCGACAGAAAGTTCTTACGTGAGCCTCTGTGTGCACAATGTCGATGTTAGGCCAACCGTCTATCTCAGCGCATTCTTACCACGACTAATGATCGACCCATGAAACTTTCAAAACAAGTTATTAGAGGGGAAAAAATAAATTGTGTGAAAATCGGGCTAAGGACGTTGAAACAACTTCCCTGCTAGGAGTCGGGTTTGTTCAGTTTAAGAAGTAAGGGAGTGTTTTATATAAAATATCCCATCCCACTTAACTTACATGAATTGTTTTTTCGCAACAAAAATACAAGTGAATGTGGTACCTTGAGAAAGTCCTAAGGATTTCTTCTCTAAATTACGTTCTCAGGCTTCAAGCCGTCTTATATTATTTAATTTTTTCCAAAAATTTAGTGCGTATTTAGCTAAGCGAGAAGAGCCTTGAAGGGATGTTGTCAAAACCTTTTTGTTAGTCAGAACACCTTATAAAATGCCAATTAGTACTTAAGGCGTTGTGAAATACCTCGAAAGCCGGTTTGTTGATTAAAATTTCGGAAGCGCAAGAGAATCAAAGGATTTTATAATAGACGACATATGTTTTGGAATCTGACGTTTGATTTAAAGAAAAGCTATTAAATCAATAAGTTGTCGTGACGATAGGTACTATTGTATATTTGCTTTGACGCGTACTTAAGTGAAGCAGTGAGCTAACATTTTTGCCGTGAATTGTTAAAGTGAGTTTTAGCTGCATTTTATTCAATCTCTTAGTGTTCATTATACCTTGATCGATGAGTTTCTGTAGTACTTTAGTGAAAATTGGACGTCTTCTAGCATGTTCCGTGCGCTGAAGTCAATAACCATAACAGCGAAAGGATTATAAACTAAAAATTGGGGTTGGTAAAATTACAACGTATCGAATATATTGTTTGAATTATGGTAAGTCTTATTAGTCCTAAAGGTTTTTTTGGATAAATACTTTCCAAACCTCATGTACCACAGAAGATACGTTTTTTAATTTGAGAATTTCTATCAATCGAAACGGGTTGGGTAGAAATTAAAGAAATTCTCAAAATAATGTCAGGCGAGGTGTCTGGATGCTACTTATAATGCCAAAAATTGCTGAAGTATTTACTTATGCCTCGAACTATATGGCTCTTTCTTTAGCACTCTGGCCGGCCTCTGCACCGCACCTGCATGAGCACTAAGCACAGACAGATTCACGTTCACTTATTCGTAACTGGCGTTAGACAACATGAAAATCAAGATTAATCCGGTTAACTGGGGCAGCAAGACCATCCACTCCTATTCGTTATCAGTACGGGCGTTTTGCTCACTTTCAGTAGAGCAGCCACCCGAAAACTGTCCGATGATATGAAGGCGGTCTAAAGATTTTAAAAGGCGTATAAGCTGATGCTTGCAGTTCGTCAACCGATGATAGGAGAACATAAGGCCACAAGTATCTTAATTTTGCGTTGAATCCAGGCTTCAAATTTCTTGTTAATCCGACTTCTATTCGGTCGAGGCGTAAGCCTGCCAGCCTTACGCTGCTTGTGATTCGAGTTGCATGGGCAAATTCTTATTCAGAGGCTGTCTCGAGGGATCGCTCTGTCCTAAAATTTGGGAAATTATACCATATAGGGCAGATTCACGATCATAGTGTTCTTCTTTCGCTAGATGCTCCAGTAGCCCATTTCCCTGTATGCCGCGTAGAGGCTGCTCATACCGCAATAAGGAAATCTGACGTGTTCCCCCTGTGCATCCACCCTAGAAGGGCATGCTTTTTCATGCTGGCCACTGACGGGGCATTTGTGTACTCAAAACTTCCTGGCTAGACGGCACCCAACGAAAGTTTGTGGAAAACACAGGGAGCCGGTTAAATGAAGACTGGAGTACTAGGAATGGACATTGTTGTCAGCCAGTCTATCTTCATATCACAAAAAGAGGAATAATCGTCCGCTCTTTATAGCGGAGATTGCAGAATACGAAGGACGTCGGGCATTTCGATTGAAAAAGGGAAAGTTTTGAACTAAACGCCATTTGTTGGCGCTTATATCGCTTAGACCACTAACGATTACATGCATCTGTGCGCGCAAATCAGGCTGCAAGCTGTAGACAAGTCATAGTGCAATTAATGTGTAGTCGAAACAGGCGGGGGTTTGTCGATGAGGAGTGACACTTAACAGATCTTCCGCATTTTCTGGTTGAATAGCCTAAAACTCAACTATGGTAGAGAAGTTTTGCTGTAAGTCCAATCACCAAATTGTTGTGCACCTTTTGACGGTTGTCAAGTAAGCTCTGAGTTTTTTTATCTACCACAATTCAGAACTTTACTCCCTGTGAATAGGAAACAAAATCGTCAGAATATGATCAAAAAGTAATAGGTCCTCACTTATGGACTGTAAATTAAGTTCAATATGGAAGTCATGTTATTCCTGGGACTACTAAAATCTCATTACCATTTGGCTGCATCACCTCTTGACGGAGGTTTGGTTCACTTCTGTGAGCGACCTATTTCACGCAGCTCGCAGGAATTAGCTGCGCTCTTGGAGATCCCTTTAACTTACACAAAGATCCGCAGGGATCTCGGCTCACCAGGCGCCTCATCCCGGCTCCTTCAGGATCCTTTAACTCCCCCTAAACATAAATGGTATTAGCATAGGCCATGGAAGAGAGAGGTTAAACGTAGGAAAGTTGGTTGCGACCGGGTATATAATGGTAGGACAAGGAGCCGTGACTCAGTGGTTAAGGGCGTTGGACTTCTAACCAACCGGTCGCGGGATCGAGTCACAAGTGTTCCACACCTCGGGGTTGTGTATGACTGGCTGACGACGGCCAATAAGCCAGAACCGGTGGTTCCACTTTCGCTTGTTTTTGTCGGTAATGCCATTCTTCCCATATCATGCGCCGCTGTGCGGTTGCTGGTTGGGCTCGAGAGAGAGCACTAAGCCACAACAGTATGCGTGAGCTCCGTAACACGATCGGTGAGGGTCCCTCTACCACATGATTACTTTAGTTATCTCCCTGCAAAAACCTGTGTTTTATGCCAACGTTTGGAGAATGGAATAGTCTACTGGGGCAAGAACGTCCCCCTAACTACTAACGAATGCGACCACTGCCTAAGATCCTGACAGTCTACTAAGTCTGCAAGAAATGCAGGACGCCTCTAGTAAAGGGAATAACAACCAACTTCTAATGTCAATGCCCTGCGAACCAACTTTCCATACTCTAGTAATCCGTACTCCTGCAGTTGTAGTTTTATATAAAGCAAGACTGATGACAATGGCGAATGTGCCACCACGACAGGCAGACCGTCGTCACCGACGATGTCCACCGTGTGCTTCACAGCAGGGTTGGAACAAAAACGGTGACATGCACGTTTATAGTGGTATACAACTTACAGAGCATCCACCTCGCTCTCCCCTCGTCGCCTTGCTGGACAGAGTGTCATGATAGAGCTCATAAGACGGGGGGGGCGGAAGAAGGCTGAGATGGCTGTCACGGAGAAACTCCGCACCACAGCATGTTTGATCACACCCGATCGGATTCAGCAGAGTTGAACTACCATGGAGGTCACATTAAGAAGCGACCATTGCAGCCTGACTCCCACCCCACACAAACACACATTGAACTGACCGCGAGGATCGAGTTATCCCGCCAGTTGGCAACCTTCCAAATCGCAACGTTTGGGGTACCATGACAGATTCGAGCGCGTTAGATCGTAGTTAAGAGTATGCGCTGAGACTATAAACTTTGCTCTTCCCAGTCCCAGACACCAGTTTGCTGTCCGAGCCGGTCAGTTGTCTGACGCAGCAAGTGGGCGCAGTGGCTGACAGAGCTAGAGGGTCCGTCTGCGCGCACCATATACGCGACCTGGCCCCCAAACGCACACACCAAGATTACACACTCAAAGGGGAAAAACGGTCCGGATCTCATATGTGCGAAAGACTGCTTTTGAGAAGGAGGCATCTCAATCCGACTTTCGGTCAACCATTCGGCCACTCAACACACAAACCCACAACTGGGCTGACTGCGTGGTTCGAATTGAAGCGTAATTGGGCAACCTTCCAAGCTACGCTTTAACGTACCGAGATAGTCTCAATCGTGTCGTGTCTGATATTCGATCTAACTCACTCTTGTGCGTCGGTCGACAATCCGGATCGCCTAACTAACTGATGCTTAAATTCAGGAGAGGTGGCCAACAGAACTGAGAACAGTTCGTCTGCGCGTGCCACACAGAACACCTGGCACCCCATACGCACGCACCAGGATTTCAAAAACAGGGAGTAGATTGCTCGGATCTTACATGCAGCAGAGTGGCTGAATGGAGCAAGGAGCCGAAGAGCACGTTTCCCATTTGGGTGAGATGTGACGGTTTTATTGAACGTTGGAGGTGTTCATATGTCG